ATGTATGTATAGGAAAATACATAGTGTATATAGGGTTTGGTCTATCTGCGGTTTTAGGCATCCATGGGGGGTCTCGGAACATATCCCCCATGGATAAAGTGGGGGGCTACCATATAGAGAGATCTTAAGAAGACAGAAAAACCCAAGGAAGCTTGGAATTCCCTTCCCCTCTTTCCATCTCTCCACCCCCTTCTTCTAACACAATGAGGAAAATGTGATCCGAGAAGGAAGAACTGTAGAGTAGGTGGCAGGATGTGAAGGAAGAAAGAAACAAAGGTAGGTGGATGGGTGAGAAGGTGAAGATGATTGCACTAGAAGGGAGAAGATGAGCAGGGGCCAGAGAAGTGGTAAGGACGGGGGGAGGGAGGGAGAAAAGAGAGAGAGGATGAAGAATGGAAGACAGCATAATAAGGATGCGACATGATCACCTTGGATAATGATTTTTTTCTTTATTCTCTTTCTGCCTCCAGGAACCTAGCAAATCCTTAGGAGAAGATGACTGTGTTCTTTAAATCACTTAGGAATCATTGGAAGAAAACTACAGCTGGGCTCTGCCTGCTGACATGGGGAGGCCACTGGCTCTATGGAAAACACTGGTAAATATCTGACAGCCCAACCCCACTTTTATCTCCAACCACAAAACAGCCTGAGAGGGCCTGAGGTTAAAATCTTGTTCAGCTGTGCTTGTCTCTACAAAACATTGTGGTGTAAAAGAAAAATGTCATTCAAACCAAAAACAAAGACAAAGGCTTCTTGTCGTAAACAGTTCTGTATAACTGGAGCTGTTAACACTCATATAGCAGTGGGTATAGATTATAGTAGTGAGACTGGGAAGGATGCTATTTTTACTCATTTTATTTATAGTTGAAGAAATTGATGCCTATCCTAGAGTTAGTAGAAGACAGGGTTTGGAACTCTAATGAATATATCTCCTTGGGATTTTATGCCTTCCGTGTTTTACTATGGCCTCTTGATCTGTCATCACTCTCGTTGCTGTACAGTTGCTAAATCTGCTTCCTCCATCCCCTGTGACTACCCTTGTCTTTCCCATTAGCCTAGGTTAATTGAAATTAGAAGAGGACTTTCAAACCTTTTGTTTGAACAAGGAATTCAGTAGTCATAGATTTTATTAGCCTTTAGCCATAGGGAGAAGAAGAAAGTGCCAGAGTTCCTCTTCTGATTTAATATGATAATGAGATTTAAATAAACAGAGAAGTTTTTGTATAAAAATCACACATGCTATTAAGAGAGCCAGTCCAATTGCAATATT